TCTCTTTTTTCTTATGTTTGTGCATTTAAGAGATTGATGCAGTATTTGTGTTTCAGCAGTGCAAACAGCCATTGCATCCCCTGTAGAGCGTGCAGGATTTCCGCCCCGAGCTGGAATTACATGTTTGCATTGTTCATTTACATTAAAGCTATTAATACAGCGATCAAGTGCTGGTGGGCTGGGAAGAGCAATAGCTGATAGGCATCGCTGCTTATTGACTTAAATTCTGCACGTGACAGATGGCATTGATTATTTTTCACCAGTAGATTATGTTCCAGAGGTAAATGTCACACTTTTTAAAAAAAGAAATAATTAAAAAAATCTTTATTGTCCCAAGGTAAAAAAATCACACACTTCTTTATGAGGTGTAGCGGTATTGCTAAACCATCATTTTTAATTAACCAATTTCTGCTGAAACCCTGTTCATCTGTTTCTGACAAATGAGAGGCGATGATTCCTTCGCTTCAAGAATTGCAGGTTAAATTGCGGGGGGGGTTTCCTGGCAGCCGCACGGCTGCTCCTGCACCGCTCCTGGGGAGCGGGAGCAGCTCCCGGCCCTGGCCGCAGCCTGAGCCCCGCCGGCAGTTCCCCGCCACAGCCTAAGTGCAGCTACAGAAAAGCCAGCCCCACTGAAGGTGTGTGTCATGTTTGTGGGTTTTCCCGGTGTGTGTTCTTCGGGCACTCCGCTCCAGAAGTTCTCAGGTTGCTAGATGCAGAATGCCCTTCAGTATATTTCTGGAAAGCTGGGACACAGGGCTGCTTTACACCTGTGTCTTGTGCTGGCTTACGTGTACTCCTCGTTTCTGGCTCTCAGTCAACCAGAGTGATTCCTACCAGCCGCAGACGGCAGCAGCCCACTTGAGTCACTCCAGAAATCATTTTTCTGCTGGTGAGGGTGGCCCCGTTAGATTATCGCACTTTCAGACTGATTTCACCCGCAGCGGAGTGAGAGCTACAGAGAAGGCAAACGCGGGCTGTGACCAGGAAGAGTCACGGGATGGAGTCTGGTGCCGTAACCAGGGTCAGACTCCGGCGCTTCGGCACAGTGAAGATCACTGCGGGCAGCGGGTGTCACTGGCCATGAGCTCCCTGTGGTGTATCCTTTAGGATGCAGTCAGAGGAGTCGGAGCACATGCATCCGTCATCTGCTGCTGGTGGGGAACCGAACTTTAAAAGCCTCATCTTTTCCCAGTTATGGCACATCAGCTGTTCTTTGCTTAAAAATAAATAAATCCGAAAACCAAGATCCGATAGAAGGCTTGTTCCTAATCACAGGTTTATTGCCCCTACTATTGTAACACATCTGTTCTTCTGTCTGTACGTTTTGAGTCTAGCTTAGTGAGGTCTTCTGCTTTGCCCTGACATGTTTTGCAGGCTTGTGTCTTCTCCAGTTCGTGTCTGCCCCTGTGGCATAAGGCAATATATTCCTTAGACTGAGGCTGCACATGCCTTTACGTGATGCTTCATCTAAAGCCTTTGACAGAGGATGATTCATTTTGGACAGATCTTTATGTTTGTGTGTGTGTATTTGTGTTTCTTCTCGATAGTGCCAGAATATCCTGTCTGTGGCTTGTCACCAAGCTCTTGAGGAGTCCCCATATCAGTTACCTGAGAGCTTCAGTAAGTGACAAGGAAAATGTTGATCTAACCTATCGTCTGTGCTCGATGGAGGTACTCATACAGTCCCGCTATCGTTCTCCCTTTGCTAGGAAATCCTATGTATGTCATTTATTGGAGATGCATGAGAATGTAAAAACATATGTCCAGCCCACCTTCTCTCAAATACTGAATTGTATCAAATCCAGCCATCTTTTTTTCCTAATTAAGACACGTCAGCATCCTCCTTTACCACTTTTTCGTCTTCGCTTCATCACATTTTCCATACTGGCATTAACCTTTAGTTTCTGCATCTTATGTCTTGGCTGAAATAGAGCTTCATGGGGAGCGATCTGGGGATGAGATAAAGCAAATGTCTTGTGTCCCTGTACTTGATTTCACTAGGGCATCAAGAGATTTGGGGGTGCAATAAATACTGTTCCTGCCTCAGCTGAGAAGGTCTTCATCCCTCCACGTGATGGAAGTAAATTTTTTTTTTTTTTAACTTTTTATTAGAGGTTTTGACTCAACAGCCCGAGAAATGTCTTTAGACTTCCTCTTACAAGGTGGAGTCTCTGTTCCTTTTGTAAATGTACCTGGTTCTTGAGTTCCCTGGGGAAAAGAGATTGGATTCTTAATGCTGTTCTGTGCACCCTTCATGTTTCACATCTTGCCATTTCTCACAAAATTGAGAGAACACGAGTGCTGAGTGGAGCAGGGCATGTATCCGAGTTAGAAACGAACATACTGATTTATTGTTGGGGAACAGAGTGGTCATATCTTAATCCTTTCCATTTGAAGGAACCACTGTGCCTTTATGTAGTTCTTTCTCTCTTACTGCCTGTTGGGGATTTTACCGTAGTCCAGTACACACAGTTAGAGACTTCAAACGTCGTCTTTCAAAATCTTCGCTGTCACTGTGATGTGATAAACGCAAATCTCAAACCGAGGCGGCCAGCTGAGCAGTTCTCTTTTGTGTCGTGCAAAGCTGATGCTTAGACCTAAGCACTACAAAAAGCATGTATCTTGATGTATTGGAAAAGCCTTCAACGCTTGCAAAAATGAAAAGTAAGGGAAGCGAAAGCCCTAAATTTGCTATGTGTCATTCTGAGGGAAGGACTTGGTGGGGGGAGAATCATGTTTGTTAATTGTATTTTAAGGTAGCAAAGATTAATTTAAGACCCCAGGGGGGCTCTTTTGTCTACGTTATAATACTGTGAAGGAAGTACGTATTTAAATTAATGAAATTATGTCAAAATTTTGTTGGTAGAGATCCATTTCACCATTTTATTGGTGTAAGCAACAAGGTTTTAAGGTTTCTCAAACTTCAAATAAGGTGGAAGGGCTTTTTGCAGAAACTCCTTGCAGCGAGAGGACCACAGTCACCTTGTTGCTTCTCGGTTCACGAGAACGCAGTCAGCACGTCCTCATAACTGGAAACAAAGAGCTTTTGCGTAAGACGAAGGAGCCAGTTTCTCAGGGATGTGACGGCAATCGTCTGGCAAGCGCAGCGTAGCAGTGCCTTGCGTAAATGTTCACAGGTCCCTGACAGTCCCGAAACAAACGGTGTTGGGAAACTTGCCGCCCAGGTGGGATTTTCCGGTGAATCTGTTGGTGGAGGCTCATCTGCAGCGCACAGGAAGGAAGGGTCCCAAGCAGAGGTGGCAATCGAGCTCTTCCCAGCTGGGAGCTTACTCGGCTGTGCCGTGGCCCCTCCGGACCCGGGCTGGTTCTGTCCCGCGGTCCCAGCGGTGGGAGCTGGCGTCTGCGCAGCCGGCACAGGCTCTGCCTTGCCGCCTTCAAACCCAAAACACGTGCACGAGAGTCACGGAGCACCTGAGAGAGCTGGGAACAGAGCCCGGCCACGCCGGCTAGTAGCTTCTCCTGCAGGAAAGCTGCTTCCAGCCCTGCGCCAAAGCTGCTGCGTGCCCGCGGGTGGGCGGGGAGAGGTCCGGTCCCTGCGCAGGGTGGTCCTGCACCGCGCCGCTTGCTCTCTGCTTCGGTTCGCGCCCCTACAAAACGCATCCAGTACTTGTTTGCCTGCGGTGGGTTATGGCATAAATTCCCATACGAAAGAAGGCTATTCACAGCAAACTGCTTTCGCTGTCTTTAAAACGTCTGGTCCTTGGCTTTTCCACATCCTCTCGTTTTGGAACATGACGGGGTGCAGTTCCCATCCCTGTCAAACTCTCCTCACCTCTGTGACTTCCCAGTGCCAGCACCCCCCTCCGCACCGCGCTCGTCGTGAGCCTGACGCGCGAGTGAGGAGGTCATTTCAGGGAGTCCTGCTCGTGCTTGCCGGGCCGCTGCGGCCCCTTTGCCCCTCGGGCAGGCAGGTATTGCTGCGAGGGTCCGGCAGCAAGGACTCGCCTCGCTGAAGTGTTTTTCTTGTGAAAGTGGGCGCTGCTTTGGGCGCAGCCCCTCTCGTGCATGCTGCGTTGGGGCGTCCTCCAGACCAGGTGCAGGGCGGAGGAAGGGGTGTTGCGTCGATTTGGGGAAAATGGCATTTCTGACTCCTTTTAGAGTGACTGTGGGATTGCGTTACAGGCCCATCCAGCCTGACCTGGGATGTTTCCAGGGATGGGGCATCGACCAACTCTCTGGGCAACCTGGGACAGGGTTTCACCACCCTCATTGTGAAACATTTCTTCCTTAGATCTAGTCTAAATCTCCCCGCTTTTAGTTTAAAACCAGTAGATACTAAATGTTTAGTCGCAGCTAGCTTGACCAAGCTGCACTTTCTTATTTTTAGCTTTCTCAGTACTTACTTGCTTGAGGATTTGCTAATTAGTAAGCACTAAAAAAGTGCTGCTTGAATCATGTTTTTGGTTTTTGTTTAGCACTTAAACCCACACTTACTTTTGTTCTCACATGCATCCACACTTTTTTTAAGTAACTGTGTTTTGCTAACTGTTGAAAAAGGGGGTTTCCACACTGAATTGTAATTCTGATGGAAAGTTTTGCAACCTGACAATTTGATACTTGATCTGACCCATCTCTGTGATCACAGTCATATTTTTTCAACAAAGTTATTTTCTTCTTAGCTCTTACATCTTTGTACTCAGTGCTATCTGTTTAGTCCTACAAGAGCAGAGTTTTTCTGGCGGTTCCTATGTGGAAGCTCTCCTGTATCATGTATTGCCAAGGCAAATTGGATCTATAAGATTTTGAATTTAATCTTCCCCCCCTTTTTTTTCTTCCTCATTCAAATTGAATAAATGTTGTCAAGCTTCTGGTTTTTTCCCTTAAATATTGATGTAGCTCATCTTTTCTCTTTATGAAATCCAGGCCACAATTCCGTCTATTTTCTTAAGTTCTAATGTCCAGCTGTAGTGCAGGCAAAGCATTGCAGAGTTAATCGTTATGTTCTTTTGAATTCAGTAGTATCTCTGGTTCTCTTCCAGTAACTCGACACAACCACCTGAAGGACTTCATGCTGGTGGTGTCCATCGTCATCGGCGTGGGTGGCTGCTGGTTTGCCTACATCCAGAATCGCTATTCAAAGGAGCACATGAAGAAGATGATGAAAGACCTTGAGGGACTTCACAGAGCTGAACAGTCTCTCCATGACCTTCAAGAAAGGTAGGTTTTATGCATTCATCCTGTTGGAGCATTCAGCTGTCAGTCTTTCCTGCAAGGTTATTCTTCATTTAGTTTTCAGGAAAGGTTTTCTTTTTGGCTGCCGTGCTGCTGTGTACCAGAGTCAGCACCTTCCTGAGCGACCGTAGCAAACCTGCCAGCCGGTCTTAATAGCTCAAATGGGTGCCTGGCTCGTGAATGATTCAGCTACCAAGCTACACATAAAGATGTGTGCGTGCTCACTCAACCTGCTCGTTATTTGCACTTGCGATGGGCCACATGAAGGCCTAGGTGGTAAAAAACTCCCTTGCATTACTACAATCGTGAAACGTGTTGATGAAGCCACCTGAGCAAAGTGACAATGTCCAACACCAGCATCTCCTGCTCCGAGATGGGCTCCAGTGCACACTGATGCCTGGTCAAATGTGGCCGTATGTGCTCCCATGCGGTTTTGTTTCCTTTCCATGTTGTTTTTATGTTGTTTTGTCTGTTGTGTTTTTGTTCCTGTTCTGCTCTAGTTCTTGTTACTGGTTTGAAAAAATAGTTTCCGAATTTCTGGGAATCACAGAATCACTAGGTTGGAAAGGACCTTCAAGATCATCAAGTCCAACCATTAATCCAGCACCACCATGTCCCCTAAACCATGTCCTGAAGTGCCACATCCACATGTTTTTTGAACACTTCCAGAGATGGCGACTCCACCACCTCCCTGGGCAGCCTGTTCCAATGCCTGACCACCCTCTCAGTGAAGAAATTTTTCCTAATATCCAATCTAAACCTCCCCTGGCGCAATTTGAGGCCATTTCCTCTCGTCCTGTCTCTAGTTACTTGGGAGAGAGGCCAACACCCAGCTTGCCACAACCCCCTTTCAGGCAGTTGTAGAGAGCGATGAGGGCTCCCCTCAGCCTCCTCTTCTCCAGACTAAACAACCCCAGTTCCCTCAGCCGCTCCTCATCAGACTTGTGCTCCAGACCCCTCACCAGCTCCGTTGCCCTTCTCTGGACACGCTCCAGCACCTCAACTTCCTTCTTGTCATGAGGGGCCCAACACTGAACACAGTATTCAAGGTGCGGCCTCACCAGCCGAGTACAGGGGCACGATCCCTGCCCTGCTCCTGCTGGCCATGCCATTGCTGATACAGGCCAGGACGCTGTTGGCCTTCTTGGCCACCTGGGCACAGTGCCGGCTCATGTTCAGCCGGCTGTTGACCAGCACCCCCAGGTCCCTTTCCGCCGGGCAGCTCTCCAGCCACTCCTCCCCAAGCCTGTAGCGTTGCGTGGGGTTGTTGCGACCCAAGTGCAGGACCCGGTGCTTGGCCTTGTTAAACCTCATACAGTTAAGATTTGACTCCGTCTAGTTTTGCTGCTGTTGGTGTGTGAGAGCTCTCCTCCCTACGCTCAGAACTTTGCTGCTTTAAGGAGCAAAACATCCAGCTGAGCAAAATGGGTGGGAGCCCTCCTTCTGTACTCAACAGCAGTCACTCTTCATTTTGAGTGCGTTGTCTTACTTCAAATAGGTTCTTCCTATTTATTTATCACACTTAACTATATAGGAGCAGCAAAATGTACAGTGGTTTCTACTCCCAGTCTGACTCACACTGAAAGTATATCAGGACCCTCACCCCCCGAAATTACAGTGTAAATCTGTACCTAGGGGGAAAGAAGAGCCTCTTAAAGGAGTGTAAGGTAATCCAGCTCACTTAGAATTTGTCACCCAGGCTGATAACGTTGTTTCACTCTGGCTTTGGACGGGGGAAAAAGCATGCTGAAACAGTGGAAGATATCAGAGGAATTACACGTCCCCTCTTGAATTCTTTGAGCTATATGAAAAAGTTTGTGCTTCCATGCCTGCACGGTGATACCTAAATCAGGAGAGTTGTCTGGGAAGAATGAAAAAAAACTGTGTGGAGTATTACATATGAATAGTTGAACTCTTAAGCACTTGGGCAAAATGCTGTATCTTCATGAATGTGACCTCTACTCACAGACATGATTGTAATGGTTCCAGTAAAACTACTCGTCATGAAACGGGCTGCAAAAGAGGCCATCTGTAGACACAGGGGTGTTCTAGGAAAGAAAAGACCATTCAAGACTGTTGATGACAAACCAGTGGGGTTTTTTGGCAATAAGATATTTTTTAAGGGCAGATTTAGCAAATAACAGAGCATGATAGTCTTGGGCTGTAATTATTTTTCATTAGTTTTAAGTGTAATTTTGGAGGATAAACCTTAATTTGACTGCAATAGAAGCTGACGGCTGCGTTCCCCGTGGCTTGTCCGAAAGCAGAGCGTGGCCCCAGGTACACATGCTGGCTGCTCACGGGTGGTGTCACGAGCGACCTGTGCAAACGCCAGGATCCCAAGGTTGTAAATCTGCCATGGAGACTTTTGCAAACAGCCGAGTCTTTGGAAACCATACGATGTACCCACAAAACTGCAGCCTGATTTCTTGCCTGCATGCTCATGACAGCCGTCAGGGAACTGTCCCACACAGAAGCGTTGCTCGAAAGGCTTTCTTCTTCGAGTGTGATCGCATCAGTTGGTGTCTATGTGGAGGGCAAACACTTGAGAGAGTACCAAGGTGATGGTGCCAAACTGGGCACGTTCCCTTGGCATTAATGCAGATACGTGACCTGCTTTCTTTTTGGCATGGAGATGGAATAAAGTACATTTCCTCTCTGCCTACCATGGAGCCGTCTCCAATCCACAGCTGGTTTCACAAAGCTTTGTGTAATTTTACATTACAGGTTGGACATACCCCAAAGAAAAAGATTTTTTTTTTTTTCTACAGCTAGAAGGACACGGGAATTCCTTCTCAGTGTCCACCTCCTGGAGCAGCAGAGCCGCGTCCAAGGGCGGGAGGTCTCTACTGGGTGTCACTGAAGAGCAGGTCACATCAGAGGCCCAAACGCCGGCTTCTGTGAATGTGCTGTGTGGGGAACGTCCTTGGGATCTGCTGCCGAGGGCAGAGCCACGTAAACAAGTAGATGTGCCTGGGAAGTTCAACTAATGCTCTAAAGCCAGATAGGAGGAAACACAAAACCACGTGTACTAAGCATAGCTCGAGTCTTAAGCCAGAGCAGCTTGTGATGCTTCTGCAGGGTGTGCAGCTGGGAGGACTTGTCCTCTGCAGAGGGCACTGAGCTGGAGCTCAAGAAGCAGGAGGTGAATTCCTGGACCTTGTGGGGCCTCTTGGCACAAAATTGATCTAATTGTCCTCTGAAGTGGGGAATACACCTTCGCTTCTTCATCCTTGTACTCTAGCAAGGCTCAGCTGTGGTCCTCAGCCACTGTAGGTACAGCAAAAACTACAAACAGCAAGCTCCCGTGGACTTGCGTGGAAGTTGTTCTGAAGTTCTGCTCAGAAACTTCTTTCCTGAAGTAACCTCCTTTCATGGCTCATTGAAATTCAGTGCTAAACAGACCTCCGGAAGGCGTGTGATGCCTTTCCAGTTCCCTACCAACAGCTAGTGCTGTTATTTGATGAACAACTCTGATACACTCTTGAAGAGTTGAGAAGGGAAGATTGTTACAAAAGCCATGTTCTGCTCATCTTCAAAATACCTTTTGAGAACATTGTTCAACAGTGACACTTTCCAGTCAATTAAACAACCCATCAATATAAAAAGGTTCATGTCTTAGCACGTCCTAGTGATGGTTGAGGATTGTATGAAGATCTGTATTGAAGACCTACTGACTGTATCGAAGATCTGCTCCTGAACTGTGAAGCCCCCAGACAGACCTCGATTTCTTGCCCTCATTACAAGTGCAGCTCTGAAGGCACCTTGTCATCTCGTGGAGCTCAGTGTACGTGAAACCAGTGTGGCTGAACTGGCTGGGTTTGAAGGGAATGCACAGACAAAGCGTGGCTTTGTCCATAACCAACATAAGAAAATATGGGCTCTGCTGTAAGGAAAAAATGGTAGTAACGGAAAATACAATGTTAGAGTGCCTTTGAGAATTATCTTAAGGACAAAATTCCCTCCCTCTTCTGTGTCGTAGTATAGGGGCATTTCTCCTTTAAACAGAGATATTTTGGTGGTTTGGGATTCTTGCAGCCCTAGTATGGAAGAGCTTTAGCACTGATGCTCAGGGCAGAGAGCGTGGGTTTATCTAAAAACTTGGAATGTCTTGGCAAGAGTCTCTTTAAATTGGGAAGAAAAACACTTGAGTTTCTCAACAGAGCTGTAAATTGAAAATGAGCCTTTTCCAAGAAGAGAGCCAACATCACAGCTGATGGGAGTCCAGCCCGTCCAGTCTGTTTTAAATGGCCATCTGCATCCGAGGAGGAGCCCGAGAAAGAGGAGTCCTTGGCTGGGACAGTGAGCGGCTTCGGTCTTAACCCGGAAGGTGGTGATGGGTCCCTGCCATGAGCCTGCCCACAGGCTGTGCTCCATCCCTCGTCACCAAAAGCACAACCAAGTGCTGCCCTTCAATACAAGGCTGGAGGATGGGCACCTCTGCGTGTGCTGCAGGGAGCAGCGTTTGTAGCGACTAAGGATCAGTTTTTCCCTTTCCGTTAGTGCCCAGCTGGTCTGGGATGAGCGGGAGCTGCTCAGGGAGCCCAGGAGTGCCCTCTCGAGGTGTGTTGTCATTTACAGCCTGGGTACAGCCAGAGCCAGACCTCGCCGTCCCCTCTCATCTGCCTCCCCACACGTTGCTCCATTGGACGTCTCTCCAGTTTGGATGTTGGAGACCTTGAGTGGGAGAAGATTTTATGGCCTTGAAACACTTATTTCTAGCTAAGCTGATTCCGTTTTGGGGTCTTAGGGTGGTTTTTTTTCTTTTCATTTTATGGATAGTTTTACGTGGTCACTGAAAATCTGTCTGCCCTAAGCTGCGACTGGTTTTGCTGGTTAAGCTGATGCCTTGCTAACCTCACAAATGTTGCTGGTAGCTTCAGTGTAGATGAGCACTTTATCCAAGATCCCACCAGTGCATAGAGAAGCTGCCTGGGCAGGGCAGGAGGTGTGTGTAGGGAGAAGGGGCTGGTTTGGATGCGGAGCAGAGCTTTTCTTCTCATGCCAAGAAGTTCTGGGTTAAAAATAGTGTTGCCTCTGCTGCTCGTACAGCATGGCTTTCTCCAGCTTTTATTGATTTATGTCAAACTGTGATAACTGAGATTTTTTGAAGAGAAGTTCATGTTGAAAAGGTGGGACTGTTAGATTGATGCACCCAGGCTCTGACAGCGTAAGCCAAAACACTTCATCGTGTTCGATCCAGTAGCTGGAGCACATGTCCTGGAAACTTGTCACATCTTGATTTGAAGTTAGGCAAAGATGGATGTACCACATTCCTCAGAGATTTGATCCAGGGTTTAATTGTTGCCACCATTAAAAAAAAACAAAACAAAACAAAAAAAAAAGGTATTTTTCATTTGAATCATTAGGCTGTTTCTTGCAAGAAGCCCTTTAATATTTAAGGGCTTAATAATAATCTCATTTCTTTCATTGATAGTACTGTTCAACATGATTTTTCAGAACCTCCATTATGAAGTGAATTTCACTTCATTTCAACCGAATATTTGCCAAAACTTTTTTTTTCCGCCTTATACTTGGCAATCGCTGTGTCTCTAGAAACACTTGGGTCTGAGACTGCGTTTGAGAGAGGCACTGCTGGTATCAGAGGTGGTTTGGGTGGCCAGAGACTTTACAGCCCTTTTCCAGGAGAGCGCAGTCCTGCATGGGACAGGTTCATTCTTGATGCTAATTTGATTTCACTGAACTTGCGCAAGGATTGGGTTTACACCAGTGCAACTCCCCTGAAATGCAAATGTTGCAGAAACCCTGAAACATCTTGCTGTGGCTGCGGTGGTGTCTCCTTCAGAGGGTTGAGACTTTCCAGGCTGAATGGCTGGACCTCCTGAATGGGTACAAGTAATCTGTTATTACTTTTGGTTGCCATACATAATTCTTAATGATTTAGTCCTGTCAGGAGGAAAAATAATCACTTCCAGGCAAGATTAAGACATGTCTAAATTTGAACGCTTTTGAAGTGGAACATGGAGACATCCCATCTGGGTGTTCATACCTGCTCAGGCACATCTTCCTTTTTTTTTTTTTTTTTTTTTTTAATTAAAGGCAAAGGTCTTCATTTTTGTAAAAACACTGAAAATTCTAATTAATTTGGGACTTATTAAAGGAAATCTTGGTGTGGTTTGGAAAATGAAGAAAACAGCTACGGAGTATTTAATAAATGAAATAAAGTTGAGGCTCTGAAGTTGACAACTTAATTCTTCCCGGGCACAGTGAACTTTCTCCTTGGCTTTCCAAACACAGGTCTCTGTTGACATCAACATAGCGTAAATAAGAGCAGGGTTGGTCTAGATTGCGGCTGGCCAGCTGTTGCATTGTGGACTCCTTCGGCTGGGTGCACGATAATCTGACACGCACAGCACTGGGCTCTTGGTCTCTGTGTGTTGCAGGCTGCAGAAGGCTCAGGAGGAGCATCGCTCTGTGGAGGTAGAAAAGGTGCACCTGGAGAAGAAACTGCAAGATGAGATCAGCATTGCCAAGCAGGAGGCACACCGGCTCCGAGAACTGCGGGAGGGCACAGAGAACGAGCTGAGCAGGCAGAAATACGCTGAGCAAGAACTGGAGCAGGTAAGGGTTCATCCAGACGTGGATGCATGTATGTGCGAGACGTGCCAGCAAGAAGAGTAGGCAGTTCCTCACTCTGCTTCATCCTTCTGAGAAATCCAGTGACGTTCTGCTTATAATGCTCTTCCGCCTTTGCTTTCGCATTCCCCTTTGCGGAGGAAAAGATCGAAGTATTTCTTCCCCCGCTCCACGTCACGCGTCCTCCATACCGTGTGACAGCGCTGCTTGTGCGTCAGGTAGCAGGGACCGCGCAGGTGCCGTCTCGAGAGTGACGTGCTGCTGCCGCGTGCCCTCCCAGCTTGCCCCGCAGAAGGAGAGGTGTTGAACTTGACCTGTAGCTGCACTCTTCTGGTGACTTCTAACTCACACTCCAAACTATCAACTCTTTCTTTTTTTTCTGTTGTTTCTATTCATGGTTTTAGGAGAGAGTTAGAATAAGTTTGGTTGTGCTTACCATGATTTCTGGTAGATCAGAGAAGTGTAGGAAGGAAATTTCCTACCAAGGAAATTTAGCAGTAGATTAGAATCTGTGCAGCAAGGTTAGCATTCATATGCAATTCTCAAACACATTAGTTTTAAGTTTAGACTAGCACCCAAGTTACATATCGTAATGTAGGCCTAGACAGAATAATGTGTATAATGCTGCTGCTGGCAAAAATAAAACTCCTTTGATCCAGCAGGATACACAGAGCATTTGTAAAATAATTTGTCATAGGTCAGGAAAAGCATTCCCAATCCTACCTCTAAAAACCCTGAGAACTATAACAAAAGCTATAAGGAAATAACGGAAATCAAGGACGTTGCTTGTGGCACCTGTGGGCAGTAACAGAGGGCAAAGAGCGAGCATCTGGGAGTTTTCCCTCAAAACTGCCCTTTTCCCAAGCCCACAAGAGAGGTCCAAAAACCCCATGCCAGTTGCTGCTTCCTGTCTCACCCGAGGGACAAGTCTTATCTGATTTTAACGTGTAGATCAGTTTAAACCAAAACTGTGTGAGCCAGAATTGCAAGATGCTCCGAGGATGTTCTGAGACCACCAGCATATCCTCCCAACCTGACTGTGCCCCATCTTTTATGCCGCCATGGAGGGTGGGGAAGGAGACAAGAATCTAGGGTTTGCACAGAGAAGGGAGAAGCAAGTGTCCAGGCCGTCAGGCGGCCAGCGAGCCGCGGGGCAGCGTAGCCTAGGTATGCCAGTAGTCAGCGGACAGCACATTTCCTTCCTGCTTGGAATACCGACAGCCCAGACACCCGCCGGCGCCTGTTACCAGCTTTGCTCTCGTGGTCCGGCATCGTTCCTCCTAACTGGTCATACGGCCTCTCCACACGGTCACCGAGCTCCATTTGAGGACAGGCATCGGGGCATCTGTGTTCCCACACAGGGAAATTCGGTCATTTCATGTTGTGGGACATTAAATAAGGATGTGTAGCCTTCCTCTTGTAACCCCGAGCCCTCGTACCCCACCTGCTCCTGGCTTTTGGAGAAGGCAGGGTCTCATCCCTTCCACTTCCCCCTCCGCATTTGTTAAGAAACCCGGAAAGCCAGAGGTGACTTAACCGCTCTGTTGTTTCTTAGAGGCCTTCGGGAGGGATGCATTGACAGGGTGAGTACCGGTTTTACCCACCTGACCCACACTGCGTGACTATAACACGATCACTGTCCCAGTGAGCTGTAGACCACAGATAACATTAACCAGTCACTCCTGCTGACCGTAAAACTCGTCCCGTTTTAAGATAGTCTTGGGTCCCAGGGAATAGTAAAACAACACCTTGTTTAAAACGATACTGGGGGGTTTGGAAGCTCCTACTGGAGTCTGGTGTTTGAGGTGGAGCAGCAGTGGGGGGGTCCTCTGGGGGGGTCCTCTCCCGGACTGGGTTGTTTGTACCGATCCTCTCTCCTCACTAGGTCACCCCCCGACCATGAACCCAGCCGGGGCTGCGGACCCACAGGGCATTCCTCACGTTATAAATTGTTGCTCTTAGTGATCAAAGTGGGATCTTAGAAATCTCCACAGGAGAATGTAGACACACAAAGTAACTCCTGTTTGTATTGATTCCCCTGCAGAACTGAGAGGGTTTGTGTTTTGGACACTGCTGTATGATGCCTCATCTCAACCACTGGTCCTTGGCTGTTGTTCTGCACCGCTTCCCTTTTCCACCATTCCATGAAAACGTTGTTCCTGTAACATGTTTTGAGCACTCCTCCACCCCAAACACCTAGTGGCAGATTTCCTGCCCACTTATTCTCCGTATTCCTAAATCCCAGACGCTTGCAGATCGTGGCCAGAGTTCTGCCTGTAGTGGGAGCAGCGCCTGGTGCGCTGGTGTCGAGGGGGGAAAGCAGACCTGGGGTCTGCGATTCTGAAGTTGTAACTTCCTGAACGATTTAGGCAATGTTACGCTCCACAAGACTAAATCACACATAAGTGATATAAGTCATTGACCTCTTCTGTGCAGTGCCTCCCGGCTACTTCTAGATGGACTGTGCAAATGTACTCCAGGATAAAATAAGGGATTTGGAATATCTGTATGTAACCTGGTGCTTTTGGCTTGCCAGCGATTACGCCTATGCCAGACTTGGTGAGACGTGACTGAGTTAAATAACACGTTACGGGAATAGATCCAGGTTTGAGCAATCTTTTTAAAAAATGCTTATCTTCAGTCCACTTGTGGCTGTGCTCTGTGGGAAGCGAAGAGGCACTGGCACCAGGCAAGGGTGGGTGTAAATACGGCTGTGGGAAGCATGCGTGGGGCGTTGGGAAGGGTCTGGTGCCGAGCCCGGGCGGGGTGGCTGGATGCTCCCACTGCCTCTGTGCTTCTCAGAACTGCACCCTAAAAGAACAGAAAGTGGGACAGACATCATCCAGGCATCATCCCAGAGACACATGTGTGGCCCTAACTGTGTAGCTGGCCGTGCCATAGCTGGACCTTCCCTCCCAGCTCCACCTCTGTTGGGAGAAGGTTGGCGCTGGTGGGCCGGGGCTTGCTGGGGTGATGAAAGCTCTTGCAGGTGCTTGGGGTTGGCTTTTATTTTAACAGCGAGAAAGTCTGTTGTGGCGTGTGTAACCGCATATACCACTCTTGAGCTGCAAGGGGCTGCGGTTGAAGAGTAGGCCAGTCCACCACCACTGGGCTGTCCCTGGATCGCAGCAGGTCCAAGCTGAAGTTGCCATCCTTCAGCTTCTCCAGTGTGGAACATTTCAACTTCTTGCAGGGCTTGTGTCAGGCTTCAGGTTTATGAAGTCCCTCCATGTCATGTGTAATGAAACAGAAGTATTAATTCTTCATGGTCTCTAGCACTAAATGCTTTATGTAAGGTTTTGGTATCTTCAACTTGCTTGTCACCCACTCTCTTCTAATTTTGTAATCGCTCCCATCTCCAGCAAGATAAGTGTGTGGAGGAGAGCAGACCGATGGTGCGTGGAGGAGACTGAGCTGGGATGGAAGGAGAGTCCCCTAGTAAGCTATAGAAACTGCTGATTCCAGACGTGCTATTTCTTTTCCTGACCAAGCAGCACATGTTTTGTGTCTAAATATTTTTATCATCTTGCTCCAGTGTGAAAGTTGTCTCTTGACAAGCTCCCTCTGTTTGGCTCGGTAGCTGCAGTGAGAAAAGGCGATTGCCTGTACGGTGTTGTCAGCGATTCTGCCTCAGGAGGAGAATCTGTGGGTTTTGCAGACCTGTGGGCAGGCAGCAACTTTGCAGAGATTTCTAGAGGCCATGATAAGCACCCTGAATATCCTCACCTGAAGTCTAATTCTCTTTTAACTAACTTGTGCATCGTGCTGTCAGCTCCAGAGGGTTTACCTGCACTTTATGCCTTTGTCAGGCAGAGGAGCTGGCATGGAGGGGTAGACCAGGTCAGCGATGAGCGCGTGCTCTGCTTCCCCTCCCTGAGCGCTGAGGTGCTGCGGCAGGACAGCGTCGCGATGGCTGGAAGTTTTTGGGGAAGGAGCTCCCCTTTGGGACGAAAGGAAAGCGCTGTAGAGTGTTCGGGTCACCCGAGCAGCAGCCTTGTCTGTCAGATGGCTGCCCTGCTGCACTCCTCGCCCGCTTGCCCGCAGTACCAGGATGCCACCTCTCCTCCTAATGACTTTTGCTTCTGTCATGAGTAAGATGAAGTTGCGTGGAGTCTTTTTATGTTTTTTCTGGTGCCTTAGAAGCGCCAGGTTGGCAGCCAGCAGTTGGGATGACCCTGCAGGAGGGCAGGCTGTCCCCGCCGCTGCTGCAACGCCGCGCCGGCCGGTTCTCTCCCAGGTGCGGATGGCTCTCAAGAACGCCGAGAAGGAGCTGGAGTCCCACTGCAGCTGGGCTGCACCCGAGGCCCTGCAGAAGTGGCTCCAGCTGACCCACGAGGTGGAGGTCCAGTACTACAACATCAAGAAACAGAACGCGGAGAAGCAGCTGCTGGTGGCCAAGGAAGGGGTGAGAGTTTCAGCGTCCTTGTCCTGGGTCCCCCCCTCGCAGCCACAGGGAAAGGTTTGGGGAATTAAACCTGCAGAGTTGGTTCCTCTACACCTTATTTATTTCCCTTTTAATGCATTAGATTTTTTTTTTTTTTTTGAAGTACAGCACAAACCCTCGTAGAGGTGTAAGTAGGGGCTGAAAATGATAACGAGCAATGTCCTCTCAGGGCACGGCCAGCGCTGACCTGGGCATGCCCGTCAGCTGCGGTAGCCTGTCTTGGGGAGTATGAATTGCTGCCTGTGCGACAGCGCCGTGGGTCGTCAGTAAGCAGAAGGTTTTGCACCTATTAAGCATAATCCCTGCTCTAGGTGATTTACGTGCACAGGCAACAGAATTTCTAGCATGTGCATGCGATCTGTAGCGATGAATCATTTCTGTATTCCCGGTTGTTTAAAATATTCTGTGCCAACCAAAAAGCGATGAGCTGCAGGGAAGCTGTTGTAACAAGTATGTGTCTCTCTGGACGTACGCAGCAGTCAGAGCTGGCAGCATACAAAAGTTTGTCTGCCACTGCGATGGCTGGAAATTTTTGAGGAAGGATCTCACTTTTAGGATGAAAGGAAAGCGCTGTAGGGTGTTCTGGTCATCCGAGCAGCAGCCTTGTCTGTCGGATGGCTTTTATTTTAACATTTCAATGATTTTCCTTTTGCTGTCTCAGTTCTCATGTCCTTGGTTTGTCTTTTCTAAGTCTCAAGTTAATGCCACTAGATCTGTGAACCAGAGAGGCGTGTGTGGAGACTTTAATTTTGAATACACACAGTGCCACAAAGGGAAGGTAAAAAAAAAAACACACCAAAAAACCAAACCACAAAACACACCCTCTCCCCGAAACCAACAACCCTAGGGCATTAAGAGTGTTTCTCTGATAGTTTGCCCACGGGAAAGACAAAACAAGGCTTTATGAGAGCCATTCGCTGTACGGGGTAGCTGTCTCAGTTCCCTCTGACTTTTGGGAAATTCGGAGAAGGGCCAAGGAGGAGCATGAAACTCCCAACCTGCTTACTCACTGCTGGCAAATTCCTCACCCACCGTGTTAGGAAGAATAACATCCTTCAGTAAAAACACAATTCACACTACTTACATGTGTGCAAACAGCTGCAGGAACTATTTCTGTCTCAGCCCATCCAGGATGTTCTTGTCCTGGAGGAAACACAAGGTCGTCTTCTTCCTCTGACCTCTTTCTGTTGATGTTCCAGGCTGAAAAAATTAAAAAGAAGCGAAACACCCTGTTTGGAACATTTCATGTTGCTCACAGCTCATCTCTAGATGATGTTGATCATAAAATCTTAACTGCAAAGTGAGTATCTACTTAATACTTTCCCTTATTTCTCCCTTCCTCTTTCCCCATCTTGTATTACAGACATGAGCGTACTGTAGCCTGTACAGGTGCTCTTGGTCTCATTTTGCTCAACTTTTGTTCTGTTGATGTTAGTTAACTGGGATTGGACTCGCTACTTTTAATTCTATCTGTGTGAAACAAGAAATCACAGTTACGCGGAGCAATTAAGTGTCCTGTCAAAATGAGGATACAGGAGGCTGCAGTATTCTTAAGCAATTATCCCTGGATATTTCAGTCATTAATGTTTTTTATTTTTAATTCCTGTATTCCTGAAAATGGAATGAAAGATGTCGCAAGTATTAGGGTACAAAGCTGAACCACTAGAGTCCCTGTTTCAGACAATTTACAGTGTCTTTTTCCTTCATTCCCTACATTTTTCCTCATTTGAACCTTGCTTCCAGGCAAGCGCTGAGCGAAGTGACGGCTGCGCTGCGGGAGCGCCTGCATCGCTGGCAGCAGATAGAGCTGCTCTGCGGCTTCCAGATTGTCAACAACCCAGGCATCCACACCCTGGCATCGGCCCTGAACATTGACCCCAGCTGGATGGGCACCCCACGGCCTAACCCCTCGCACTTCATCATGACTGATGATGTGGACGATTTGGACGAAGAGATCGTGTCGCCCATGTCCATACAATGTACGTAGTCTGTGTTAGCTGTGCATGGTGAGTCTGCATCTGCTGGGTGCTGCAACACGAGGCAGACCTGGAACGGTAGTTCAAATGTGTTGGGAGGAATTAAGGTATCTAAGTTGGTTTTTAAATGACCAAAGGCAAATTGTTAGTTGTTAAGGGTCAGGAATGTGTATGAGTGCCAGACCACCACTGCTGGGGTTGCTTGGAGCTTGTCAATTCCAGCAGAACTAGTAATTTGTAGGTGTTATTACCCATCATTTAATCATATGTATGCTGTCCCGTTCAACCCACTGAATTTAGGCATTTACAAAAAAAAACAAAGGCATGGGCTAGACTCAGAAAAGTGAGAAAGGAACATGAAGTGCATTGTCCCGATCTCCCTTGGCTAGCGCGCTTGTTTGGGGTATAAAAGGACTTGAAGACACCCCCTTGCACCTCTTGCCATTCTGCATAGCGGGGAGCAGTCTGCTGCGGTGACACTGCCTGCCTGTAACAACCTATTAAACACTTCCTGGAGCAAAGACCGAAACCTCCGTGCCCCATCTCCTGCGCACGTGTTGTAGTCACCAAGGTGGGCGTTCACTCCCTCCTCATCGGTGACTGTTTGTATACAAAGTGCAAACTCCTGTAGGGAGCAACAGGGCTGCTGGAGAGGGAGGTGGATGATCCTGCTCTCATGAGCCCAGATCTCTGGGAGGCAGGGGTGGAACTTGGGTCACCCTCTGCCCGTTCCCCTCTCGATTGCTCTTGGGTGAAGTGACGGCTGGCTGCTTCTCTGCCAAAGGTTCGTGAATCAGTCCTGACTACTGTTCCCATGTTCAGCTGACCCAGATTCGGCCTTGCTTCCCTCAGAAATGCGTTTCCCAAATAGAGTTTCCTACCTCTAGCTATTGCACAAGAGAAGGGGAGAAGTGAAGGGCAGCTGGAGACGCTCTGCGACCCTGGTCTGGGTGGTGCAGGGAGCAGCACGCGGCTGGAGCACAGCTTTCTGAGCTGCAGCGGGGAGAGGGGAGCCCGTGCTGGCAGCCTTAGCTGCAGCAGTCTTTTTAGTTGTGTCTGATTCAGGTCACGTTCTGGAGGACTTCATGAAAACCAGGTCGGTTTAACTGGGTGGAAGGCCATGGCAGGAACAGAAGAGTCTGGGGCTGGCAGCGTGCGCTGCAGGAGGTGCCTGTATGTGCCGTCGCCATCCCTCCCTCCTTGTTTCGGCTTCTGGTTAGATGTGGTGAAGGTCTGGAGGCAAGTGCTGAGGTCGGGCTCGGGGCGATGGGGGGATGAAGGCAGAGCACTAAGGATTTGGGTAGCCTGCAGGGTGTTACGGCAGGAGGAAGGAGGTATCTGCATGTTTTCAGGGCTCAGCAAACATGGAGGTCACAGCTGCTGATTTATGGGGTTGGGTGTGCGTAGGGACAGTTTAAAGCCTCAAACAGATAATGGTGTCCTACCAGTCTTTGTGATTATCAGTTACTGTTAGAAACCGAGCTAGACAGCTCTAATAAAACACTTGCAAAGACGCAAGCTAGGTATTAATGAGCGAGGGAGTGCTGAAGAAGAATCCTAAGTAGCACCTGAAGCACGCTTTCTGGAGGATGTGAGCTGTATGAGGCGTGAGCCTTCAGTCGAGGTTTTAAGCCTCAGCTTCTTCGTGCCTTGCTTGAGACGCCTCGAGTGAGATAACTGCAGTGAGCCCTTGCAGTGCCCGTCAGTCCAGCGATGCGCAGCGAGCCTGCCCCCGTCCGCAGCCCAGAGCTGCTCCCCTGCGGGCGATAACTCCGGGTAGCAAGCGCTGGGCACCCCAGTTCCCAAAGCACAGGAGCGTTTGTCTTTCCCTCGAGGATTTTTCTTTCTTTGTGTACAAAAACTGCTTCAGGAGAGAACCGCAGAGTTTTTCCATCCGAGATGTGCTGGGGATGTTGCTGACTGCCCGTGATGGTTCTCCCAGTAAACCACATTTTTCTCTCTCCCGTTGACACCCGGTTGGCCCATCCCAGATGCAGCCTGGCTTTTCGGGCGCAGGTTCAGTGACCGCTCGTCTCTATCCTCGGAGGATCAGTCCCTCTGGAAATACCCTGGTTTGGTTCTCTTCAATTATAATTTTTTGTTCTACCCTCTACCCCTTTTCTGGACTAAAATACATACACAAATTTTCCCACTTTCTCACACAGAAAACTAATGAATGTACCTCTCTTCACTGAGTCATCAGCATCTTTACTAACCCCCGGGAAGAGTCTGGTGGGATGAAGAAGAATCACAGTTAGCTGCAGTTCTCATGTGCTCTTGGGTTTCCTTTAAAAAAAAAAAACCACGTTTATGAAATCTGGAGGGTTGTTTTCACTTGGTTTTACCCCTGAGGTGGAGATGACGGATTCAGGCTAGGCCAGGAGGAGATGGTAACGTTTCCCATCTCATCCCACCTCCTCCTCCGTGTCGGCACAGGCTTTGCTCACAGCTTCTCTGCTGCCGGCCGAGGCTGACCCCGATCACTCCCCACAGGGTCTGCTGCCAACTGCTGTGCCTTTCTTCCCTCAGTACCCTTAAATAAATTTGAGCAATGCCACCTATAATGCTAATCTGTCCCATGGTGCCCTGACACCGAGGCCGTGGGGATGGCACGCTCAGTCCCAGAGATGCCGAGCCTCCCGTTTGCGGCTG